AGCGCCTTGCCCTCCCAGGCGGCATCCCGCTGGGTCTGGGGGGCGGTAGGCGGCCTGCCCGTGGGGGGTACGAGCTGCCCAGGGCCTGGGTGGGTTTTGGGGGGAGGGGGGGTGTCGTTCCTTTCTTCTGCTTGTTTGGAAAGATGGCATAAGAGAGTGGTGTGGGTTTTGTTTGGTTTTTTTTTTTCTTTTTCTTTTTTTTTTTTTTTTTCTTTTAAATATCGTTTGTTTGCTTTGTGCTTTGGAAGTCCCACGAATGTTAATTCTGGTCTTTCCTGCCGGCTTCGGAGGGCGACAGGGTGGTGTTAAGGAAGTTTATTTTGAACTTAAGGTGTCTTATTTTGACCTTAAGTGAAGGGATAAGGGAGAATGCTGAAAGCTTAACAAAAGCTTATTCAAAATACCGGCTAGCTGAAGGTAAATAGTGCTAAACAAGCAGACAAGGCAGTCTAACACACTAAAAGCAGTCCTCTTCCTTTCTTAAAGGCTTGTGCATTGCTGTCTTGAGTTCTGCGGTTTATCTTGCCTCTTAGTTTTTGCTCCCCCTCCACTACAAATTTAATGTAGTATTCTCAGAATAATTAGAAGACTAATTTGTAAGGATAAACTCCTAGTTGTGTACTCTTCTAGTCTAGGGACATTGCCAGTTTTGAATATAAAAAGGACAGGAGGAAGAAAGAAAAAGAGGGAAAACAAAGTCTTTCATCGTCATCTCTGTGCTGTAAATAAGTGAAAAGTGTTGTCCTCTGCCAGAAGATCATCTTCTAGAAAACTAGCTGAGATTGAAAAGCTCTGAGGAATGGGTAATTTCAATAGTAAATGCTATGTAAAAAAATAGGTGATTGTAAGGTCAAAACCAGGTCTTAGCTTTAAAAAGACTTGGTATCTTGGACAAGTAAGATCTATATTTACATATGTTGACATGAAGCAAGTAATAAATCTCGTGCTTGGGGCTGCGAACTGATTACCCAAGGAAGGAACTTTTCCCACAGCGTTGCACAACTGGCAGTGTTTTGCTTGCCTGGGGAGAACTCTGTTATCTGCTGTTGCCTGGTGGGAGGGGAAGGAGAGGCAGGGATGGAGAATGAGCTCTCGTGTTTGACCGACAGACCGCATGGTTCACAGGCCTGTAAGGACCATGGTGCTGGGAAATCTGAGTGCCTTGGGTTCCTTTCTTCTCTTCATGCAGCTTGTGTGGGGGACAAGCCCTGAGCAGTTTTACTGCTGCCTGAAAGGGAGTAGCACCGTGTGGTACTTGTGTGGGTGCTGAGTTTTCATTCATTGATGTTGAGACATGGCCTGGGAGCTTAGGTGGATATAGTTTCAAGACTACTTGCGAAGATGCTTCTTCCAGGCTCAGCCTTGTCTTCCCACAGCTCCTGCTGAGGTGATTTTTTTTCTCTCTGCGTGAACCCAAGCAGCATGTCCCTATGAAAAGGTGCTGCTGGACCTGGGCGGGCTGTCCTAGCTGGAGTAATGGGAGCGTGGCTCAGCTGCCCCCGGGCTGTGTAGATGCAGTTGGTCTCAGACGTTCTATAGACTTGCTGCATTTCTCCTGGATGAGAATGGAGGCGTTCAAGTGTGGCGTAGGATAAACGTGACTCCAGTGTCTCAAAGGTGTAATAGCTGGGTCCCTGTTACTCAGAGGATCTCTGTGCCATACTCTGTTTTGGAGGTCAGATGTGGCCTCAATTTCTGTGATGGTTAATGTATCCGGTGGTAGCTGGCATCTATTTGTCAGTCAGGCATGTATCATCATTGAGAGAACAGGAAGGAAGAATTCTTACAGTGAAAGTTGTCTTGATGAAACCTTTAAAAGTTGTTAGGAGGAAGAGCAGAAATTTGGATGAGAGAGTCTGGGCAATGACTTTGAATTTCTCCAAGTGAGATTATGATGCTGATCTTGAAAAATCTTCTGTCAGATTTACAAATCATTATGAAAAGCACCTGTGGATGCAAAAGAACACAAAGGCATTATGTTCTGTCTTATTTCAGCTCTGATTCTTTGGGGGAAAAGGAGTGGTGGGTTATTTTACCTCTCCTCAGCATTCAGAATGTGTGTGGTTAAATGTCTTCTGAAAATACAGTTCCCACCAACTGATTTGTCTAGCTGTCTTAAGCCAGCTAGCATGAACAGAATCAAGTTCTGCCTTCAGAATAGACAGCATATCTTTCTCAACACTACTCGCTCGGTTGCATGGACGCAAATGTTTGCGTAGCTGCTTTGTGAGCTGTGGCAGGGAAATCTGGCTGAAAAGACGTCTGCCAAGAAAACAGAAGGGAGGCATGGAGAGAGATTCGCCACCTCGCTGCCCAGCAGGTTTGTTCCTGGACTTGGTTTGCAGAAACAGCCCCTCAGCCACACCAGCGCAGCTGAGGCACTGGAGTAGTGTGGCATGAGCCAGCACTGAGAAACCGTGTGTCTATCCTAGCCTTTCCTCAGTACTGGTAATATCTGGTGTCTTGTAATTTAGGCAGATATCACCCATGCGCTTACAGGTAGGGACATGAAAATATGACTTGCCACATGCTGTACTAATGAGTTAGTGACCAATGGAGCTATAATATAGGGCTTGAGAATGAACAGGGAGGGAGTCTAGCTGTTAGATTTTAGCACTGTCCTCACAGTTATTTTCCTTTTTCCAGCTTTGCAAGTCCACTCTTGGGTATATTCTTTCAATAACATCTTAAAGAGGAAGTGAGATCCAAAACCATTCCACACCAGTAGCCAAATGCTGCACTTGACTTAATCACCAGTTTATGGCCAGCCAAGTAGCAGTGGAAAGTTAGCTTATTTATGACAACTCTGTAGTGCACTGCACATGTAAAAGGCGCAGAATGGTCTTTAACATGGGAGTGCTGGAAGTTGGTAGATCCTGGGTGAACTCCATTGGTGATGGGCGCTGAAGAGGCATCTGCTAGGAGGGAAACAAAATAGTGGGTTGGAGGATTACCACAAGGGTACTGGGAGAATGAGAGTAAAAAGACATTTCTGAGCATAGAAGGTGTCAAGGAATGTACGGGTGATGAGATGGGTAGCAATGTCAAACAAATTGGGGAAGGAATGGCATAGGGTTGTTCTGTTGAATTCCAGCCATTTGGGGAACAGAGCTGTGTTTTATACAAGTGTTTTAATTAAATTATGTTTTGTTTTCTCCTCCCTTCCCACCTTCTTCTGTTTCAGTGA